CAGGCAGGTTCTTTACCACTGGCGTCACCTGGGAAGCCTTGCTACAGGAACGCAGACGCTGAAAATGAACCCAGGTGGAGGGTGGCTTCCCGCATAGTCAGATGCAGGGGGATGGTTTTAGGGAGGCCCGGCCGGCCGTGGACAGAGGGCACTGCCTTTGGGAAAGGCGCACCAGGACGCCCGGGAAGTTCAGCAATGCTGGGCACGGAGCCGGTGGCTTTGACGTCCGTCTGGGGTTGCACCAGGCTTGTCCTGTTTCCCATGTGTTCTCTTGGCCAAGTTCCTTTGCTCTCTGAGCTTCCTTCCCTGTCTATAAAATGGGGACGTGAACTCAGGAGAATTATTACTGGGATGTCAATTTCCTCTGCTCCTTTTGGTTAAGCAGCTGGGGGCTTTCTACCTGTATATTGGGGCCTCAGGAAATGGGTGACGCAGCCTCTGGGGTTGTTGTGCAGCCCACATAGCCACCTCCTGACCCCTGGTGGCTCTGGTCAGTCCCCCCTCTTTTGTCCTGTTCCCCCATAAGGGGATCGAGATGGACTCTAGGGTTGGCGCTGACCCCTCCCCCCTCGCCTCCATCTAAGCTGAGCCCCCGTCTCTTGGGCCCACCTGAGCCTCCCGCCCCTCCGCCCTCCCAGAGAGAACAAAGGTTCGATTTGGTTCTTTCACTCCTAGGTTTCCTTCCCCCTCCTCCCTGCCCCCCACTCCCGGTACTGCCGGGAAGGCTTCCCTCCCACTTCTCTCCCAGGAGGCGGCAATTTCAGGGGACTCAGTAAATTGTCATTGAGATGGTAACTTCACGGTGGGGGTGCTGGTCTCTCCCTAACAATGGCCTTCCAACCCGAGTCCCGGCCCCTCCGTAGACCCCAACTTTAACCCTTCAGTTCCCAGATCCTACTGAATCAAGGCTGACCAGAAAACCCTAGAGAGGGCCCGGGGCCTCCTAGCTGCAGCCTAAGGAGGGCTGAGGGCTGAGGGTGGGCAGCACATTCCAGCCCCGGCGCCCTGGGGCTCTGTCCTCCCCCTCCCCCCACCCTGGGATTGTGGGCCCCTCCTTGTTCTCAGACAAATGTCCCCACGTTGACTCCCCCTCCGGAGCTGTGGGAGTAGGTGCCTTATCAGGAGGGAGAGGAACAGGAGATGTGCGGGAAGTGTGGCTGGGATTGGTCTCTGGGGGCAACGGTGAGAGGGGGCGTCTTCATCCCCTGAGCGCCCACCTCCCATGAGGCTGCGCGAGGGGCAGTGTGGAGGGTAGGTGATGGGATCTAGGAAACCTAGAGGCCACTTAGTGCCATCTCTGGGCACCAGCTTACCTGGTGTGTGCACTGCCCCCACTAGGCCCCGTCGCAATGTCGGGGTGGGGTGGGCAGGCAGGCAGGGTAGACTTGGTGGGCCTTGAAAGCAAGGCCTCCCTGGTGCTTCTTCCCTGGGCTTCCCCGGTGACTTAGACAGAAAAGAATCTGCCTGCAATGCAGAAGACCCAGGCTCGATCCCTGGGTCGGGAAGATCCCCTGGACGATGAAATGGCAACCCACTCCAGTATTCTTGCCTGGAGAATCTCATGGACAGAGGAGCCTGGAGGGCTACAGTCCACGGGGTTGCACAGAGTTGGACAAGACTGAACGACTAACACAGTAAAGCCAGGCCTGACTGCAGCCTGACCCACTGTCCCTGTCCCCCCTACCCTGATGCAGGACTCTGCTCAAACTAGTAATTACCAGGCAAATCAAGATGAGCTGGTGGCTTATACCCTAAGCCAGAGGCAGACTGTCTCCAGGCCTGGAGAGAGAAAAGGCCCCAGGCTGCGGCTGTCCAGGGTGGGAAGCCTTTTGTACGTGGGTCGGTGGGCCCTCCCTCCCGAGAACTGGGCGGCAGGCTGCCGCCTGACACCTACCCAAACCTGTGTGACTGGATTCCTGGCAGCCCCAGAGGGAGCCCACTGAAGGCTTGCCTCTATTTGTCCTTCTTCTTTCTCCACATCCCCCCTTCCCTCAAGAAATGTGAGTCCTCAGGGGCCTGGACGAGCTGGACAACCCACCCTTGCCTCCCCCTGCTCATCCCAGCCAGCAGGGAGCTCTGGTCATTTCCCAGCCTTTGCATCAGCACCGTCCTCCCCGTTCTCAGGCCAGGGCCACCAGGCAGGCCGATACTCTGTCCCTCTCTGGGGAGGCTCCCTGGCCATTAGAGTCCACCTGTCAGACCCTCTGATTGGCACTGGCCGCAGTCTCTCCACCTGCAATGTGGGAGGCCTGGGTTTGATCCCTGGGTTGGGAAATCCCCCGGAGAAGGGAATGGCTACCCACTCCAGTATTCTGGCCTGGAGAATGCCATGGACTGTATAGTCCATGGGGCCTCAAAGCGTTGGACAGGACTGAGTGACTTTCACTCACTGTCTCTCCATTTAAGGGGGAGGGGTTCTCCTGCTTTTTTTTTTTTTTTTAAAGTTATATGCCAATTTTTGACTGTGGGGAGAGTCAGTGCCCCAACCTCAGAGCTGTTCAAGGGGAAACTGTATTAGATATTTTAAAAATAAGTAAACACATTATATATAATAAAAGCTAGATTTCTCACTATTGAAGAAAGAAGTCATAAATTTAAAAAAAAAACTAAAATGAACCCTGTGTTCTTATATTAAAGTCAGGAAGTATCTGTATAAACTTACATTTTTTAATGTACATAAGCAGACAAACACGTAAATATATATATGTACATTAGTTAATAACAAAACTTTCTACACCTGTTAAAAGAGCCTAGAAACAACAATATCAAAATGGTAATATACACACCTACATGAGAAGATGTTGATTTTTAAACACCATTGTCCAACAAAAGGATCAAGGGCTCTTTGGAGAAGTGGTTATTGTTCCAAGGCTGCTGCTGCTAAGTCACTTCAGTCGTGTCCGACTCTGTGCGACCCCAGAGATGGCAGCCCACCAGGTTCCCCCATCCCTGGGATTCTCCAGGTAAGAACACTGGAGTGGGTTGCCATTTCCTTCTCCAATGCGTGAAAGTGAAAAGTGAAAATGAAGTCGCTCAGTCACCCCATAGACTGTAGCCTACCAGGCTCCTCTGTCCAGGGGATTTTCCAGGCAAGAGTACTGGAGTGGGGTGCCATTGCCTTCTCCGGGTTCTCCTGCTTTTCTGGGGGTGCCCATCCCTTTGCAGATCTGATCAAGATATAAACCTCTTTTCCAAAAAACTGCTAAAAGCTGTTCCCAGAGCATTGCAGCCACTTGAAGTTAGAATTCTTTACAAATGCAGCCCCTCTGGGTGGACGAGGAGGTCGATGAGGGGATGACCCCTCCCCCAGGGTCGCTGAGTGGAGCAGCGACTAGGTGTGCATTGTGGGGGGTGCCCTCCCATCCCTGCCCCCACAGGCCAGATGAGCTCCAGCTTCCTCAGGGGGAGTGGGGGGAGGGGAGAGGCTCTCCCTTGGGAGTCCTCCCCATCACCCTGGAGATAGGAATTTTCATCAGCACCCCAACTCCCTTTCCACACAATAAAGCTCAGTGCTTGGCACCGATGGAGGGGCTTGAAAGAGCTCATGCCTCCCCTCAAAATGAGGGGCTGCTGTTTGTGGGTCCTGTGAGATTTCTCAAAGGGGTCTTTGACCCAAGGAGGCTTGACCTTCTACGAATTTGCTCCTGGCCAGGGAGGTGGGCGGGGTGGGGGTGGGGCGGGAAGGACTTGAGCCATGGTCTGCGTGACCCCCAGGCTGGGCTGTTCGCACCAGGGGCATCCTGGGCTCTGATGGGGTCTTCAGGAAGGGGTGTGCGTCCTGAGTTCTTCGAGGCAGGGCTCAGGGACTCCCAAGTCACCTGGGCCTCACCCCCCTCGCCCTCCCCTGCGGTGTCTCCCCAAATAGAGCCGGGCTGTCCCCCCCCCCCCCCCCCCGCACCTAGGGCTCACCCCCTGCTACTCTCCCCTTCCCCCACCTTCACAAGAGGCTCTTTATCCCCCGGCCCCACGACACCCTCAGCCATTTAGCTCAGCCCCCGGTGGCAGCAACAGGGGTGGGAAAGTCACACCTGAGCTGAAGTCAAGAGGGGGTTGGTTTTCTAGGCCGTTGCCAGGGCGATGTCACCTGAGCTGGGCGCCAGGCACCTGTCGCCAGGGGAACAATGCGGGCGGGGCCCCTCCCTCGGGAACCACCAGAGCCACTAGGCTGAGACGGGAGATGGATCAGATTCTAGAGTGCTGGGTGGGTGGGCTGGGGGGACAGGGTTGTGCGGTACTGGGGAAGCTGGCGCGTCTACATCATGAAACAGAAACACAACGGGGGCGGGAGAGCAAAGACAGCGGGGGACCGGGTTTCAGGAGGCTCAGCATGCTGCCCAAGGTGTCCTCCCACTTTCAGCCTGAGCCAGGGCCTTTGCCTCCCCAGCCAGTCCCGTCTCCTCATTCGTTTGTCCCTGCGTCCCCACAGGTCCAGAGGTTCTTCGATCACCGGTTCATTCCCGGTCACCAATCCCCCCGCACCAGCCCCCCCACCCCCAGCCCCGCCTCCTCCCATCACTCCGGCTCCACCCCGTCCTCGGCCTTAAAAACCCGCCCGCAGCCTGGAGTCCCCAGCTGGCACCGCCGGGTGAGCCGCTCAGCCCCAGAACCTGCGCCAGCCCCCGACTTGGCTCTTCTCTCGTCAGGTGGGTCTGGAGGGTCTGTGCAAGTTGGTCAGACAGGCGGCGGTGGGACCTGACTGCAGGGCACCTGAGGGGCAACGGGACCCGCCCGGCAACAGCAGCCACTCAGCTGAGCAAGACTTTGGGGTGGATTTGTTGCTGGGGGTTCAGAGACCCATCTGTGAAGGGCACAGAGCAAGGAGGCACCCACAAGAGGCTCTCGGATGTGGTGAGCGCTGTCTGGGTCAGAGGACGCTGACACGCCCTTGCTGGGCACGGAGACCCCCACCTGCGTTCCCACAGGTGTGGAGCATCGGACCCACTCCTCCAGTCAACCGGGCCTCTTAGAGCTGGGGAAGACCCGACTGAGGGAGAGGACAGATGGCTTCCACTGGCCTTGAACTCCTGGGCATGACCCTGGCCGTGCTGGGCTGGCTGGGGACCCTGGTGTCCTGCGCCCTGCCCCTGTGGAAGGTGACCGCCTTCATCGGCAACAGCATCGTGGTGGCCCAGGTGGTGTGGGAGGGGCTGTGGATGTCCTGCGTGGTGCAGAGCACGGGCCAGATGCAGTGCAAGGTGTACGACTCGCTGCTGGCGCTGCCGCAGGACCTGCAGGCTGCCCGGGCCCTCTGCGTCATCGCCCTCCTGCTGGCCCTGCTCGGGGTGCTGGTGGCCATCACGGGCGCCCAGTGCACCACCTGCGTGGAGGACGAAGGTGCCAAGGCCCGCATCGTGCTCACCGGGGGAGTCCTCCTCCTCCTGGCGGGCATCCTGGTGCTCATCCCGGTGTGCTGGACGGCCCACGCCATCATCCAGGACTTCTACAACCCCCTGGTGGCCGAGGCCCTCAAGCGGGAGCTGGGAGCCTCCCTCTATCTGGGCTGGGCCGCGTCCGCCCTGCTTCTGCTGGGAGGTGGGCTATTGTGTTGCACATGCCCCCCGCCCCAGATCGAGCGGCCCCGGGGACCGAGGCTGGGCTATTCTATCCCCTCCCGCTCAGGGGCATCTGGCCTGGACAAGAGAGACTACGTGTGAGGCCAATGTCCCAGGAAGCCTGCTGCTGGAAACCTTGACCTTTGTGCTGGCTGCCCTGCTCTCAAACTTGCCTTCCACTCTCACCCCTCTGCCCGGTGGAACCCACTTTCCAGAGGCAGGAGCAGGCCTGGCTGTAGAGCTAGTCTCAGCACCCGGCCCGAGTGAGCCTAGACCCACTTCCAACCCGGCAGGTGCTCCTGCTTCTTTCTTCTGTCCTGGATTCAGGCTGGTCCTCCTCTTGCTCCCAGAACCTGGGCTTCACCCAAAGAGCAGTAGCTCCTTATAAGGCATCTGGCCTGGAGTTGGCCCCCTCCACCTGGCCACTACTGGCATCCAGAGCAGCCGCTGTCCTCCAGGCCCAGAGACCCTGCCCATCACCTTCCCCCCTCACCCCACCTTCAAGTAGGGAATAAACAGAATATTTGTAACTCAGAATAAACAGAGTATTTGTGGTTGAGCTGGGAAGACCTGATGGCCTCCAGTGGGTTTGTCAGGCAAGGCCTGCTCCAGGTCATGTCCAGACAGTGACCTCACTCAGGCCACGCAAGTCACAGGGTGGGGAACGGAACGACAACAAGGCAGGTGTGCCACTCATGCCCACCTCCTCCTGCTAGTCTGGCATTCAGCAACCTCCCCAACAACACCAAAGGTAAGTAATCAAACAAAACATGCTTTATTTAGTAAAACCCGGTGAGTGTGGGCAGGACATGGCAAGTGCCCAGGGGCTGGAATAGGAAGGTCAGGGGTCAGCACAAGGGGGACATGACTCAGGATGCAGGAGCCAGAGGTCAGAAGACTTGGAGACTGGCGGGTCTTTGGTAACTTATCACCTGCTCTTCTGGAGGCTACATGAGGCTCGAGAGCCCCTGGGGGTTCCAGAGGCTTGACCAGCAAGGAAAGGCTTGTCCTAGGGAGGCCCCGCCCCCAGCACCAGCAGGGGAGGACATGGTACCCTTCACATGGGGGAAGTTCCAGGTTGGTCTCTAAGATAGGGTTGTCCAGGGTGGAGAACAATCCAGAAACTGAAGCATCGCCTTTTTGGCTCCATCTTCCAAAGTGAGGAACACCAGTAGCAGACCCCAGGTAGGTTATCAAGCGGATTAACCACTGCCCCCCTACCCCAGTAAGAATCCAAAACAACCCCAAAGCTGTCATGGATCACCGTCTCCATGACCCCAGTGCAGTGGGTTAGACTCCACTATCAAAGGAGCCCCCACTCCCCTACCCAAATTAGACGTAATTCTTAGTGGGGTATTCGGAGGGACCCCGAGAGGCGGTATGTGGGGCTGATACTGAGTATCGGGCCATATAATGTCTGGAGCCCCGGGAGCCCCCAGAGGGGCAGGTGCAGCACAGTAGCCCCCCACCCAGCAACAAAAGGCCGGAAGCCGCCCAGCCCAGGTAGAGGGAGGCTCCCAGCTCCCGTTTTTGGGCCTCTACCACCAGAGGGTTGTAGAAGTCCTGGATGATGGTGTGGGCCGTCCAGCACACAGGGATCAGGGTCAGGACCCCCGAGATGAGAAAGATGATCCCAGAGGTGAGCACCAGGCGGGCCTTGGAGTCCTTGTCCTCCACGCAGGTGGTGCACTTGGCTCCAGCGAGGTAGACCAGCAGGCCGAGCAGGGCCACGAGGAGAGTGATGACACAGAGGGCCCGGGCAGCCTGCAGGTCCTGCGGCAGCGCCAGCAGCGAGTCGTACACCTTGCACTGCATCTGGCCCGTGCTCTGCACCACGCAGGACATCCACAGCCCCTCCCACACCACCTGAGCCACCACAATGCTGTTGCCGATGAAGGCGGTCACCTTCCACAGTGGCAGGGTGCAGGACACCAGGGCATTCACCCAGCCAAACAGGGTCAGGACGATCCCCAGGATTTGCAGACCAGCAGATGCCATGGCGAGGCTGGGGCTGAGATGTGGCACTGGGGGACAAAAGAAGAGTAAGGTTAAGACCAGCTGGCTCGGCCCCTCGTTCCCAATGAACGCTAGGTCCCATGCCACGTGCCATAGCCACCACACAGGACACCAAGAGTATGAACCCTGAAAGTCAGTATGAACCCTGTACACGGGCAAGGCACGCTCCAAGCCTCATTTTCTCAAGGGCAAGTGAGCATTTAATGCTTCAGCATTAATTTTTCTCCCTAGGAAATGGCAGCCCACTCCAGTATTCTTGCCTGGAGAATCCCATGGACAGAGGAGCCTGGCAGGCTACAGTCCATGGGGTCGCAAGAGTCAGACATGACTTAGTGACTAAACCACCAGTTATGTGACAGACACTGGTGTGTAAGAGTGAAAAAGTAAGCACCCCAGTCCTGGTTGTTTTGAATGTAAATGAAATAAAGCACCTATGCAAATGCTGGGGTTCCACGGTGGCTCAAACACTAAAGAATCCACCTGCAATGCAGGCGATCTCTTGCCTGGAGAATTCCATGGACAGAGGAGCCTGGTGAGCTACAGTCTACAAGGTCGCAAAGACATGACTGAACTACTAACACACACACACACACACACACACGCAAAGGTTAGCCCATGGTCCTTTGGGCACAAAGGATAAAATGGATGAAACAACAGAATGCAATTTTTCTGTAGTTTCCACAGGGCAAATGGGTGGTGGGTTGGCTCTAGCCATGAGTTCCAGGCTTAAAATTTAGTTTTAACACCAAGAACAGCCCCAAGTTTCCTCTTAGCATCCAACATAAGTGTCCAAACCCTTCACCCCAACTTGGATCCATACCCCAAAACAGGTGGTTGCTAGTTTGATCTTAAGATATAGTGTGGATGGTAGCCAGACAGTCCTGGCGTTGCTCACCACTGCCTGGTTCAAACCAGCTCCACCTATTCAAAACCTGGATGGGGCATGAGAGGTGGAGAAGAAACACAACAAAACAGTAACACCAGCCTCTCCCACCCAAAGTACTTCCTTTCCCAAGGTCCCCAGCTGCCTCCTGGGGTCCTGCCCTCTGCCCTGCCTGGGGCCCACAGAACAGACTCCCAGGGTTGGTGACATTTTCTTGTGTATTCTTGCCCCAAATGCCATCCTTTCAGGGCCCAATTTCCCCTAAAAGAAGCTGCCACCTTTGGAGTCTGTCCAGTGAACCAGCTCCTCTGGGGCAGCTCTGGCCCCCTCACATCCTGGATTTGTCTCGGACGTCGTTTGGGGGGCGATCAGTTACGCTCAGGGCCCCCCTATGATTCTCCATTGCACAAAGTTCCCGCGCACAGCTCGGACCTAAACTTAGCACCAGCCCCAGGGGGTGGCCAGAAGGCAGACTCTCCATTTCTTTGCACTCCGCCCATAACCCGGGAGAACTCATGACCTCAGGGGAGATTGGACGGGGAGGGCCGTACTGCGCCAATCCCAAGCCCAGGGTCTGCCCTCCAGGCCTCTCCGGGCGGGTTAGGGTGGGGGCCACGCTGGCCTAGGCACCTTCCCCTTACAAGCGCGCCCCTGCTCTCGGCCCCTTCCCTTTCCACGCGCTACGGCCTCAGCTCATCCGAGGGCGTCCCCTCCCGCTCTCGATCCCTATTTCCCCTGAGTGTGGCCCGAAGGAGGGTGTCCTCAGCCCCCCGCCGTGGAAGCCGCGCACCCTGAAGTGGCCTAAGGGCGGCGCTCGCAGCGGGGTCCGCACGCAAAGGTGAGGGGAAGGGCCCGGCCCTAGAGAGCAGCGCAGGTGGGGGAGGGGCTCCCGGGTTTCGGTGCTTTTGTCCCGGGCAGGGGGAGGGGCGCTTAACCTTTCCGTCGAAGGACCCCTTCAGGGCCCCGTCTCGGGTGCAGGCGTCCCCCCGCCCCCAGGGGCTCGCGGTCAAATCAGCTCAGGTTCGTCCCACGCACCGCAACCCAACTCTGCCACACCCCACGTGCCCCGCAATCCCAGGTGTCTACCCCTTCCCCCACGACAGGCTTACCTGCCCAGGCTCACCTGAGAAGGACTGCACGGAGATTCTGCGCAGCCGGCAGAGTGTGGAGATGGGCGCGGAGGCGGGGGTCTTTAAAGAGGCAGTGACGTCACCGGACCACCGCCCTGGGGAGGGGCAGAGACCCTTGTCCGACTGGCGGCGAATCCCAGCCTGGTCAGTAAGGGGCGCTCGAGGCCGCAGCCTCCGCTCGCACACCTTTGGCCCGGGAGCTAGGTAGCAGCTGGCTGCAGTTCCGCCCGCTGGGAAGACTCGCGGTGTGGAGCCGAACAGAGCTCGGGTCCGGACTCCGGAACTCACCTAAACTTCCCCAGCCTCGTTTCACTCCGAAAAAGGGAGACAGCATTTACCAGTCAATCCTGAAAGAAACCAATCCTGAATATTCACTGGAAGGTCTGATGCTGAAGCTCCAGTACTTTGGCCACCTGATGCGAAGAGTGATACTTCACTAAGTGAAAAGAAGTGAAAGTGGCGGCCGACTCTTTGCGAGTCCAAGGACTATACAGTCCATGGTCTCCCGCATTGCGACCTTACCAGCTGAGCCACAGGGAAGCCCAAGAATTCTGGAGTGGGTAACTATCACTTCTCCAGCGAACCTTCCCGTCCCAGGAATCGAACCGGGGTCTCCTGCATGGCAGGAGGATTCTTTGATGGACAGGGAGTGCTGCAGTCCATGGGGTCGCAAAGAGTCGGACACCACTGAGCGACTGAACAACGAACATCAACAAATGTCCTAAGGTAGAAATGAAACGACACAGTAGTATTACATTTGTTATATTATTATACCCTCGGGGCCCTTAAGACAGCTGCAGTTATCTCTGAGATGGGTTGTTTCGTGTCAGACCCGCCCCCTCGCCCAACACACACCTCCCGGGCTTCAGCCACCGAGAAGGCAAGGCCACATCTGCCTCCCTTTGGTATTCTGGCCGCTCGAGCGCAGAGGAGGCGTTTGTTGAGCGAATGTCTGAACTTAGCGGGCGGGGCGGGGCGGGGCGGGGCGGGGCGGGACGGGGCTTCTAGGGGCGGATCGTCGGGGGCAGGCCGAGACCAGCGGTCCGCCCCGGAAGGCGGGGGCGGGGGCGGGGCCGCCTCTCTGTGCCCGGGTCCGCGGGTGGCGAGCGCAGACGGCAGCGGCCGCCAGACGAGCACCATGGCTCTCTGCCCGCTACGCCCGCTGCTGCGGCTTCTCGTGCTGGGGCTCGGGCTGGCGCTGCTGCGCGCCGCGGCTGGGGAGCGAGTGCCAGGTATGCCGGTCCCCGGCCGGGCGGGAGGGCGTGGGAGCGGGGGGAGTCCCCTGGCCGGGATCGGGGAGCCGGCACCAGGAGCCTGGAGGCGGGGCAGAACCGGGGGACCAGGCAGACACGGGGATCCGGGGTCAGACAGTCCTCAGACAGTCCCCAGACACGGCCTCCCCAGATCAGGAGAGGTCCCATCCCGCTCCCAGCTTCTTCCATAGTCCGGGCCTCAGTTTCCCGCCTGTCCGACGTGGGGGGCGGGGTGTTTCTGTCCTGAGAGTCTGGACTCGGAAGTGGAGAGAGAAAGTTTGAGGGAGGGATGTCTCGTCTGGTAAGGCGGCACGCTCCCAACCTGATCAATACCAGTTCTGCCCACCCCACCTTGACCTAAGAGTGGGGGGGCTGTTGAGGGGCACGGAGGTCTGTGCCTCCTATACCATGTGGGGTACCCCCTTCCATCCGGTGACTTCAGTGCCCAGCTATTCGGGGGGAGGGACCGGGATCGGGCCCAGTGCCCGGGAATGAGTCACCCGCCGGCAGCGCGGGGCGGGGGGGGGGGCGGTTATGGGGAACTGACCGCCCCCCCCAAGCGTCCCGCACTTTGCCCCCCGCTCCCCCGCGCTGCCGTGTCCCGGTCGGGCCGTGCGGTCACCTGTGAGGAATGCGGAGGGGGCCGGTGACTCACGTTATTCGAGCCGGGCCGACCCTGACCTCAGCCCCCAAAATAGCCGCGCCCCGCCCCCAGCCTCTGACCCGCGGCCCCCTCCCCAGGCACCACCCCCTGCTCTCGCGGCAGCTCCTGGAGCGCGGACCTAGACAAGTGCATGGATTGCGCCTCGTGCCCGGCGAGACCGCACAGCGACTTCTGCCTGGGCTGTGAGTGGGGGCGGGGCCGGGGCGAGCGGACCCCAGGCTAGGGGGGAGGCTTCCGGGGTGGAAGGGGGAGCAGGGGACTTGAGATCTGGGGAATTAACCGGGGTGGGGTGGAGGCTGGAGTGAGGAAGGGGCTCTCACCAGGGTAGGGACGTGGGGGAGGGAAACCTGGAGGTTCCGATCTAGGGGGCGGGGCTGGTCTGAGAGGGGCGTGGTCTGACTTGGAGTCCCGCCCCCAGGCGCTGCGGCCCCTCCCGCCCCCTTCAGGCTGCTGTGGCCTATCCTGGGGGGCGCCCTGGGCCTGGCCCTTGTGCTGGGGCTGCTTTCTGGCTTCCTGGTCTGGAGACGGTGCCGAAGGAGAGAGAAGTTTACCAGTGAGTGTGTCCCCGCCCGCCCGATGGCTCCCCATCATTCCTCAACATCTCCCCCACTCCTGACACCCCTCTTCTTATCTTGCAGCCCCCATCGAGGAGACCGGTGGGGAGGGCTGTCCTGGCGTGGCCCTGATCCAGTGACAGGGCGCGCCCCCTGCCATCAGGAGGCTGCGCCCGCTCATCATTCATTCATTCATTCATTCTGGAGCCAGCCCCAGCCTCCCAGACACAGCCAGAGCCAGGCTGCTCCAGCCACAGGGGTGTGGAGGGATGGGGAACAGTGAATCACCTCTCTAAGGTCCGGCCCCAAGCTTCCGAAGAGCCTTCCAAGGTGTCTGACCGCCCTGTCTCTGGCTCCAGAATAGAAAAGGAGACCCTGGCTGGCTCACACCGGACAGCTGACGCTAAGGAACTGCAGCATTTGCACAAGGGTCCCCACCCCCACCCCCACCATGGCCTGGGGGCCAGGCTGACCTGAAGGACCGACACAACACCAGGTCCCACCCACTCAGATGTACTGAAATTCCACCACTTGGGGTCTCAGCCTGGAGGGGTTAGGGACCTGTTCCTAACACTAGAGGGCTGGCCCTCTAATGGGGCTGGCCCTAAGACACTGCCCCCTCGGACCCCCTAACACAGGGGGAGATATTTATTTAGGGAGAAAATGTGGAGGGGGAGAGAATTTATTAATAAAAGAATCTTTAACTTTAAATGGTTTGGAGAGTGGCATGATCCCAGCCTGACTTCCCAGAGCTGGAGGGGAGGAGTGAGTCACCGCGGGGGTGGGGGCGAGGCTCTGACTCACACATTCTCAATGCCTGAGCCCAGCCTGCCAGGACCTGGCCAGCCGAGACCGTTTTCCAGGGAAGTGCTTGAGGAGAAATCCGGCATCCAGCACCCCTCCCTGCCCTCCCTTCCCCAAAGAGCCTGGGTTCCAGATTGAAGCTTTCATTCACTCAGCAGTCTTTATTCAGTTCTTGGCAGGGAGGGGATGGCCTCCTTTCCCATGTCCCTGCCCCTTCCACCTCAGGGCTCTGTGTGTGAGGGGAGGTCCTGGTGCCCAGAGGCCTGGTCTGGAGGAAAAGCAGGGCAGGTGGTCCCTTCATGGGAGTGCTGCTCTCCCTTGTTGAGGGGAAAGAAGGAAGTGGGGGGGAGGCAGGGGCACTGCTCCCCAGATCTCAGAGCTCCATCATGTCCCCAGCTGGGGTTGCAGGGTAGTGGGTGGTGGGAGTGTCCCCCAGCCTCAGCAGCCGGAGAGCCTCAGGGATCAGGTTCCCAGGGTAGCGCCAGAGAAGCAGCTCAGAGCAAGGGCTTCTGGAAGAGGAAATAACAGGGCACAGGGGCAGAGGCTGGCCTGGCAGAGCCACGCCCCACCTGGTCCAGGTCCCCAGGGGCTCCTGGACTGCTGGCACCTTCCAAGGAGCCAAGTAGGGAAACAACAGAGGTTGGCTAGAAGCTAAAAATAGCAGAGTGAGGCAGAGCCTGGAAATGGGCTCCCAGGACTGGGTATGATCCTCTGGAAGGCCCAGCCGGTGGACTGTGGATGGTGCCTACCTGAGTGGGGGCAGAGCTGGGGGGAATGCCCTGGGGGGGCTGCAGTAAGGGTGGTCATTGTGCAGGCTGAGTTGAGAGAAGTGGGTGGCCATGTTCTCCTCAGATAGGAACTGCTTGCGCAGGGGCTCCCTGGGGAGAGACGGGGAGGCAGGCAGGCTGGGATATTCAGAGGAGAGGTAGCCTGATGGGGACCTGAGGTGAAGGAGGACTTGGTGGGAGTCCCTCCCTGCCCCCAAACTCACTGCTCCTCCTCCAGGCGCCGCTTGGTGCTCATGGGCACAGCTCCTCGGAGAGGGGAGCTGGGAAGAAAAGAGAGCTAGGAGCACCCCACCCTCTTGGCGCCATCCCCAGGATCTGCCCGCCTGAGCTTGCAGCGTCAGCCAGCAGCCCCCCGGCCCATGCCTGTCACTGACGTCTAAGTCACCCTCTCTCCCAGACCATCCAGGAGCCTGCCTCGGAGGTCTTCCCCAGTCTCCAATCTTGTCTCAGCTTATGCCCAAGCCCTGCCGATAAGCCCCACCGCGTGTCATCCTGCAGACCTGCTCTGAGGCCCCAGCCAAAGCTCCTGGGACCCTGGGCCGGGCCCACCCAGGGCCCCCCCACACACACCTCGCTTCCAGGCCTCCAGAAGCCCCCGAGGCGGCCCGCGGGTCGCGCTGGGCCCGACCCCGGGGGCCTCGCTCCAGGGGTTGCTGTAGGATCATTGGGGTTCGGGGTCCTGCGGACAGAGGGGTGGGATCCGGGCGGCAGGGGCGGAGCCTTTGAGGGCGTGACCCAGCGCGTGGGGCGTGGCTTTAGGTGCGCGCGCGGCCAGGTTCCGCGCAGGCGCGGAGGACGGACCGCACGCGGCTGGCAGGCGGGTCTGCTCAGCGGGGTGGGGGAGGGGACCCGGCTTAGCGGGGTCGCGGTGGGCGCCACTTGGTGTTGGGGTGTCTTCTCCGTGGTCACCTCTGCTCCTGGGACTCGGGTTACGCGGTGGCCGCCTTCACTCCGGGCCGGCCAACGGTATCGGGGAGGTGAGCAAACGCGAAGGGGAGGTGCCCACTGGCACTTCCGGACTCTTGAGGCTGCGTTGCGCGCGGAGCACTCTGGGACTGTTAGTTTTCGAGATGGAGCGAGCGGCGCAGCAAGCAGTGCCTCTGGGTCAGGTGAGGGGGGCGATGCACAGTGCCTTCTGTGATTTGTAGTCTACGTCTGGCTCCGAAGGGGCAAGGCAGGGAGTCCTGCCCTGAGCCCTGTTTTGCGTGGGCTGTTGGTGGGACTCGGATTCCTACCCGGGGGAGGGAGGATAATCCAGAAATACCTCAGGGGCCTAACGTGAAAGTCACAGGATGCGGATCAGGGGTCAGTATTCTGTATTGGAGTAATAGAGCAGTTTTTTAAGCGGTTTCTGAGCGAAGACAGAAACTGCTACGCTATGTACAGTAGCTCATCCAATCATGACAAAATCTCCCATGAGCTCCATTTGACAGTTAAGGAAACCGGGAGGAGAGGCTGAGTCTTTGCTCACATTTCCACTAGGCATCATGCCTCAACTCTCCCCTTCCTCACCTCCCTGGAGCCGCCCCTGGGACTTGTACGGGCAAGGCCCACTTGGTGGGCTGTCGCAAAGGAGAACTGGGTGGTGGGAGGCAGGATTGCTGCAGGGGAAGTAGGAAGGAGTGTGTGTATCAGAGGCCCCTGATGCCCCAGCCTGCCTTCATCCAGCCTCTCTCCACAGATGGAAGTGTTTCAGGCCCTGCAGCGGCTGCACATGACCATATTCTCCCAGAGCGTCTCACCCTGTGGGAAGTTCCTGGCAGCTGGCAACAATTATGGACAGATAGCTATCTTTAGGTACTCTTGCCCCTGCTCCCCACTGTCCATGAGCTCTGGCACTTGGCTCCCTGGGGGACTAATGCCCCCTTCTTCTGACACTCAGGCCCCTCTCCCCTTGCCCTTCAGCTTGTCTGCTGCTTTGAGCTCCGAGGCCAAAGAGGAAAGTAAGAAGCCCATGGTGACCTTCCAAGGTGGGTGCAGGCATTGAGTCTGGCTTGGGGAACCCCAGGGTGGATGACAGGAGCAGGATGAGGTCACTCAGGTTCTGTGCTTCCATTTAGCCCATGACGGGCCCGTCTACAGCATGGTCTCCACTGATAGACATCTGCTGAGTGCTGGGGATGGGGAGGTGAAGGCCTGGCTTTGGGCAGAGATCCTTAAGAAGGTGAGTGTGAAGCTGGGGGAAGGGTGAGGTACCCAGACCCAGAGAGAGCTTTTGAGGTCACCCAGTGCATGGGGTCACAGAGAGTCGGACATGATTCAGCAATTGTACAACAAGCGTTTCTCTCCATGAAGGGCTGTAAGGAGCTGTGGCGTCGTCAGCCCCCATACAGGTGAGCCAGGCCCTGTGAGCAGAGGGCACCTGGGGCTGAAGGTGTCACCACACCAGAGTTGACTCTGCTTTCCTTCCCCCAGGACCAGCCTGGAAGTACCTGAGATCAATGCTCTGCTTCTCGTGCCCAAGGTTCGAGCCCTTCGTAAATTCGGGGCTCTTCCCTGTCCTGTTTTTGGCCCAGATTTTGATCCTTCCCCTCTCCCTGGCCTGACTTGACCCTGACTTCTGACTCCATCCCGCCTTCCTCTGCAGGAGAATTTGCTCATCCTGGCGGGGGGGGACTGTCAGCTGCATGCAATGGACCTTGAGACAGGGACCTTCATGGTGAGAAAGCAGGGCCGGGGGAGCGGGAGCAACTGCGTTCCTCCTGGGTCTTGTCCTGACACTGCCCCTCTCCCTGCAGTGGGCCCTCCGGGGCCACACAGACTACATCCACTGCTTGGCACTGCGGGAGCGGAGCCCCGAGGTGCTGTCGGGCGGCGAGGATGGGGCCGTGCGGCTTTGGGGTAAGGGAGTGTCGCATTGGAGGGAAGGCTGGTGGTGGGGGAGGCTGGGAAGAGGAGGGTACCTCTCGCGGTTCTTCCTCTGCAGACCTGCGCACGGCCAAGGAGGTCCAGACGATTGAGGTCTACAAGCACGAGGTGAGGGCACACCCAACGCTCTGTCCTCCCTTCTTCCTTCCTGGGCATCTCCGATGTCTTCACCTCCTGCTCTGTGCTCCTCCCTCCCAGGAGTGCTCGAGGCCCCACAACGGGCGCTGGATCGGATGTTTGGCAACTGACTCGGACTGGATGGTGAGCCAGGCAGCGTGCAGACTGGGGTGGCAACTCAGGCCCTGTCTGGCTGAGGGCCCGTGGCTCACGGTAACTGGGGACCCCCACCTTTCTGCCCAGGTCTGCGGAGGAGGCCCAGCACTCACTCTCTGGCACCTCCGATCCTCCACACCCACCACCATCTTCCCCATGCGGGCGCCACAGAAACACGTCACCTTCTACCAGGACCTGGTGAGGCCCTCTGTCTTGTTTCTGCCATCCCTGCCCCACTCTCCCTCCAGCCCTGAACTCTGAGCCCCCTCCCTGTCTTCCACAGATTCTATCAGCTGGACAGGGCCGTTGTGTCAACCAGTGGCAGCTGAGCGGGGAGCTCAAGGCCCAGGTGCCTGGCTCCTCCCCGGGACTGCTAAGCCTCAGCCTCAACCAGCAACCAGCAGCCCCTGAGTGCAAGGTGGGTCCGGCCAGGGGTGGCAGGGACCCTGGGAGGCCAGGGCGTGGGGGCAGGTCAGTCACTCTCCTGTTGTTTCTAGGTCCTGACAGCCGCGGGCAACAGCTGCAGGGTGGATGTCTTCACTAATCTGGGCTACCGAGCTTTCTCTCTATCCTTCTGACCTCCAACAGTGTCTCCACCTCCATCCCAGGGGTTCACAGTGTTTTCTTCTCTTTTTTTAGTCTTCTTTTTTTTATACAAATAAAATGAGTGCCTTTTTTTTTTTTAATGTGCTTTCTTCCCACGAATGGAGGCCAGGTCGGTGTAATGATTTATATATTACTCTGTCTGATCTTGATACATAAATACCCATCCCCATCCCCGACCCGCAGCTGAGGGCCAGGGGGCTTAATGCCTAGAAAAGATAGATTTATATAAATTTGATAAACAGCTCTGCCTCACATGCCCCTGCCACCCATCTGGGGTCTCTGGCCCCCAAAGCTGGCCCCTGCTCCCAGTGAGCCCTTGCCCAGCCTCCAAGGGAGGGGAAGGGCACCAGCCGCCTTTGGCAGACAATCGGGACCCATCGCTCCATTGGCCAGAAGAGGAAAGTGAGTCAAGAGGGCAAAGCCAGTCCTGCCTCTTCCAGGTGCTCAGGTCCTTCGGAAGAGGGTGCTGAAGAAGCTGACGGCGGGCCCGGGGCTCAGGCGCAGGGAGAAGCGCGTTGGGGCGGGGCTCGGGGCGGAGGCGGCTGCACTCAGCTCTTGCTGGCGTTGCGAGCGCAGCTGCTGACCGATGACCACCTGCATGTCGTCCTGTGGGTGGGCAGGCGGGGCGGGTCGGCGTCCGGCCCCGCCCCGCCCCCGCCGGCTCCTCCCCGTCGGCCTCGTGCTCCCCGCCCCTCACCTGCCAGGCCTCCAGCTCTTGCGTCAGCGCCACCTTCTGGCGGATGGTGCGAAGCAGCTCCCGGGAGAGGGAGTCCCGCTCCAGAGAAACGCGGCTGAGCTCCAGGGACAGTTCCAGGACCCTGCAGACGAGGGGCAAAGAGCAGGTCCGAGGACGCCGGGGCTTCAGCGTGCAGGGGTGGTGGGGGGCTCCTGGACCCAGGCGGGAGTGAGACCACTAATACGAAACCAGGGAGGTCAGAGGGCCCCCGGATCAGAGTGGGGTTCCGAGGCCCAGAAAGGCCAGTGTGTCCTGGGTGCCTGAGCCGGCCCCCGTCTCCGGGCGGTTGTGAATGGTTGCAGATGCTTACTTTTTCATGGCCTCGTCTCGGTCCGAGAGGGCGCTGCTTAAGGCCTCCTCGGGGTCCTGCACCCGCAGTTCCTTCTGCCTTTGCAGTTCCTCCCGCAGGGACTGTAGCTCTGCCTGCTGCAGCGCCATCTGCGGGCAGGGTAAAGTCCAGAGAGGCAGTTAGGCCCCTGGGTGTCCCAGCGCTTGCTCTTCCAGGCAGTCCAAACTCTAGTTCGCTGCCTTCCCACCTCCCATCTCCACCTGCTCCACAAACAACCCTGACAGCTAATGGTCCTGTGCTGGAGATGAATCTTATGAGTGCCTAGCGGGGTGGGGTGGGGTGGGGTGGGTCGGGGTTAGATGGATGGTCTAAGCCTGCAGGAAGGATGCATGGAGGAGATGGGACTTAAGGGGGGGGTGGGGTGGGTGGGGTATAGTTCAGGAAGTCTTCCTGGAGGAGGTGACATACAGACTGGCTGTTGAAACTTGATGGCAAGTTTGTTGGGATGAAGTGGTATCCAAGTAGAGAGATTCATGGGCAAAGGCTTGGAGGTGTAGATGGGAAAGAGAAACTGACATTGAGAGGGGCTTTGCATCCAATACTATGCTCCTCCCACCTCAACCTGTAACCGGACCACTTCCTCCTCCTCTTCTCCCAGTATCTCCTCTGGGCTCAGGGATGCTCCCTTCCTGGGAGGCTCCAACCTCTCCTGGGGCGAACGCTGCTGGCTGGACACTTCTTGGATCTCCGGGGATAGAGTGGTCTGTCCACCAAAGAAATCGATCAGGGCAGTGTCAAACCTTCTAGGGATAAAAAATGAGGGGCGGAGTCTGCAGCCCTCCGGGATGGTGAGTGTGGAGCCTGGTGGGCCGAAAGCTCACCAGAGGATCTCCGCTTCTGTCCGTGTTCTGGTTTTGGTCCTGGTCGCTGTCTAGGCTGTGGGCGAGCTCTAACTGCAGCGAGGCTCCCGAGAGGTCGGCGTCCTGGAGGCGCGACTCCTCCTCCAGCTCCGAGACGCGCCGCTGCAGCCTTCGCAGCGAGCTCAGCGCCTCCTCAGTCTCGGAGCGCGCGCGTTCCAGCTGCGGCCGAAACCGTGAGCGTCAGCCAGATGCCCCCGCCGCCAGCAGACAGGGGGCGCCAGCGCGCCACGGGAGTCAGGCATCCCCACGCGTCCGCCCCGCCAAGCACCGAGGTCGGCTCCCGCTCCCCGGCCGTGGGACCCGCAGTCCCCCTCGGCAGATGCCACTTGCCTCACCTATAGAGCAGGGTCCCGATGAGCGCCCAGACTTCAAAGTCTCCCGTCACCCTCCCTCCAGTCCTGCCCCATCCGGTCACCTGGAAAAGCCCCGCCCCTCCCTTACCTGGCCAGCCTACCTTCTTACTAAAGCTGTCACCCGGCCCTGACTGATCATTTCGTCTCAGCCAGGTGACCTGCTGAACGTCTCACACCCTTCCCACAGCCATGTAGCATTACCACCCATCTCACAGATGGGGAAACTGAGGCTGGTGTCCCACAATAGTAGGAAGGGACCCTGGGATAAGAACCCAGGTAATCTGACCCCAAAGCAAGCACAAGCTCCTATGATCTCAAACATCAAGTCATACTGCCTCCTTCCATTTCCTTTCCTGTTTTCACACCCAGACCTGGTCCAGATCCCCTCGCCTCCAACGGTGAGCTCTCGCCTCAGCCCCATCCCTGGCCTCCAGCTGCTGGTCTCTGATGCATCCTAGAACCACCAACCCCGCTCAGCCTCTCTGTGGCTCCCACTTGCCCTTGTGCTAATGCCTTTGCCCTTCTGGCCGGGCTGCTAGGACTCTCGGTGACCCAACTCTGGGGTCTTCTCCCAGGAGGCCACGAGGCAGTGGTCCAGGCCCCCAGCCTGACGCGCCCACGCACCCCAGCCCCGCCAGTCACCTCCAGACCGTGCTCCCGCCTCTCCCGCCGCAGCAGCAGCAGCTCCTCATGGGTGGCCTGCAGCCTGCCCCGCCCCTTCTCCAGCTCCTCACGCAAACCTCGAATCTGGGCCTCCAGGTCCTGCCGGCGACTCTGGAGCATCTGATTCTGGGGAAAAGCCCATCAGAGCTAAGAGTGGAGGGCGAGGCTGCGCCCAGACAGCCCCCAGGCCAGCCTTCCCCACTCAACAGACCCCCGGCCCCAACCGGCACTCACCTCCCCCTGCAGACTCTCCAGCTGCGTCCTCAGCTCTGCCCCAGCCAGGGCCTGAGCCTGGCACTGCCCTTGAAGGCTGTCCAGTTCCCGCTGAAGCTCCTGCTCAGTCTGTGAGGCCTGGGGATGGGGTTGGGGGTCAACAGAGCCCTCAGCTGGCCCACGCTGCAACAGGCCCAGCACGCCCACCCCCAGACGTCTGCCCCTCCTTGCCAGGGGACCCAGGGTCAGGGCCGTCCGGCCTGGACCAGCACGATCACACCCACCAGGACTGGGCCCAGCACGCCCACCCCCACCAGGACCGGGTGTCCTCCTCCTCCCTGCCAAGGACCCCGGGGTCAGGGTCATCCCACCTGGGCCAGCTGCTGGCTGAGCCGGAGGTTCTGTTCGCCGAGTTCACTGAGGGCCCGAGCCCGCTCCCGGCCGCTGTCCTGCTGCTCAGAACGCTGCTCTCCGAGCTGGGCCCTAAGGGCCTCCACGTCCCTCTCCAGTTCCACTGCCCTGGCCTCCCACTCGGCTCCCCGGGCTGCCAGGCCCCGGCGCAGTTCATGGTTCTGCTGCTGCAGCTGCTGTGGGGCCAGGACAGAGGGGACAGTGAGACTGGAGGGGACACAGAGCGACAGCCAGAGACCTGAGCGGGGTCCGAGGGGGTCTGAGGCAGGCCTGAGAGCCAGAAAGAGGACAGAACTGGGTGGGGAGCGGGCAGAGGGGGCAAGACGCAGCCTGGGACAGTAGAGGAGGCAGAGGAGCAGTCGAGAGGTTTCTGGAGGGGCTGACCCTGGGCCTGAGCTGGGCAAGGCTCCCCGGTGCCCACTCACCTCTGGCTGCCGCCGGAGCTTCTGGACCCGAGGTTGCAGGCGCCGTTTTTGGCGCCTGAGTCTGGCAGAATTGAAGCCCCGGCCCATGGCCTCACACAGCTGTGTGCTCTGGAGATTCCGCCTCTGCTCAACCCCTCTCCCCCAGCTCCTCCTGGCCAGCTCCCTCTAATTAACCCTGGGCAGCCTCACCCCGGCCCCACGCCTCTGCCCGCCCTCCCCCAGAACCTGTCTAACCAGTGGGGGGACGCTCCTGGCACACCCAGAGGACCAGCTTGGGGAGGCGGGCAAGTCAGGGGCCAGCATCTGCCCCGTCACCCCTCTGTAGACTTCCATGCAGGACAGTGATGCTAACCATAGCTGCTACGATAATTAGCAAGCCCTCCTGCTAGGGCTTCACCTATATTGTTGTATTTAGTCCATGGGGATTAGAATCCTTTTGTTGCTGTTTAGTCACCAAGTCGTGTCCGACCCTTGCAACCCCACAGACTGTAGCCCGCCAGGCTCCTCTCTCCATGGAATTTCCCAAACGAGAATACTGAAGCGGTTGTCATTTCATTCCCCAGGCGATCTTCCTGACCCAGGCATTGAACTCGCATGTCCTGCATTGGCAGGTGGATTCTTTACCGCTGAGCCACCAGGGAAGCCTTTAAAATCCTTAACATTTTCATTTTACAGATTAGGAAACTGGGCCTCAGAGAGGTGCCTTGCCCAGGGACACACAGTGAGTTACTAGAGCAGGGATCCTAACCCAGACAGCCAAATCCTTAATCAAATACTGGGGTGGGGGGGTGGTGTACAACACAGCTCGAGGATTAAGCCCACCAGTCTGGGGTCCTGTTGTCCTATTTTTCTGGCCAATGCCCAGCTCTGCTTCTGCTTTGTGGTCAGGCAAGCTCCCTAACACCTCCAAGTCCCATCCATCCATCTATTCATCCATCCAGTATTTCCTGAGCTCGCCCCATTTTGGGGTCTGGCTATCAGCAGTAAGTGAGACCACCAAATTCACTGCCTGAAACAGCTTCGAGTCCAGAGGCAAATGAACACATTTGAACCAGGTAGTTTTGGAGAGGGGCACATTTAGGGCTGTAAAGAAACCCTGGGAAGTGATGAAGAGGAGTGAGGTGCAGTGGGGGCTCCTTCAAGAGGAAGTGGTGTCTAAGTTGACTCCTGCAGGGCAAGAAGGAAGAGGGCTACACCAAGGAACAGCAGGTGCAAAGGCCCTGAGGCAATAAGTGTGGGTTACTCAGGGAACTGAAAAAGGCCCCCTCAGAGGAGGGGCCACGTGGCTGAGATGAAGGCAGGGGGGGTCACTTAGGATGTTTAGGCCCTGGTGAGAACTTTTGGTTTCATTCTAAATGAGGGGGAGCCATTGGGAGATTCTGGGCAAAGGCCGAAATGATCTGATTTGCAATTTTTGAAAATCCCTTTGGCTACCCCGTGGAGAAGGAGCTCAAGGGGCAAGATGGAAGCTGGGGACCAGTGAGGAGGCAGCTGCTGTGTCTGGAGCAGAGATGATGGCCCTGCGGCCAGCTTGGGGAGATGAGAAGTGAGTAGACTCGGTGTCTAGTTTTAAAGAAGAATCAACAGGACTTGCCAGTGTGGGAGGAGAGAAGTTGCGGAGATGCTCAGGCTGGGGCCCTGTGGTGGGAAGCTGGGGGAGGACAGCAGGTGATGGGGTCACGGAATCCAGTGCCACTTATGTTGAGATGCCCATTAGGTGGCCAAATGGAGAGGGTGTGGGGCCGACAACATGGATACAGGAGTCAGTGGTGTCCTGGGTGTGTAGGGGGCCAGATGTGACGCCCAGGGTGAGGGTGACCACAGCATGGGCAGAGGGAACCATGCGCATCTGCCAGAGCTGAGTGAGAATGGATGAAGATCATGTGTGGAAAGCGCTTAGGCCAGAACGGGACAGCGAGAGTGCGCCCAGGATCTGTTGGCTGGGGTTTGTGCAATACTGCCGAGGAGCCAGACCCAGGTTCAGAGACGGCCAGCGGCTTGCCCAAGGTCACACAGCCTGGCAGGGATCTGAACTCGGGTCCTGCCCTGCCCTCAGAGACCGCGTTCTTTTCTCTGCAGTGGGCAGCCTGTGGGACCTTTAGTTCCCCGATCAGGGACGGAACCTGCATCCCTGCATTGGAAACACAGAGTCCCAAACGCTGGACCGCCAGGGTTGTCCCGGAGCCCATGTTCTTAACCACTGGGCAACACTGCCAGGGAGACTGGTCCCAGCCTCGGACTGCTGTTCCAGAGGCAACCCCCCGCCCCGCTTTTGTCCCTCTGCCCCCCACCTGGGCCCTGCCCCCCCACCCCCCAGCCCTGCCCTCTGTGCCAGCTCACTTCCTCACGCTCAGCGTGCTGGGTGTTCAGCGTGTCCAGCTGCCGCTGCAGCTCCTCATTACGCTCCAGAAGCATCTTGCCGAGCTCCGCTGCCAACAGCAGGTCTTTCTCCTTCTGCTGCAGCTGCAAGGCCAGGTCCTCTGGCTCCTCAGGCCCTGGGCCCCCTCCCAGGAATGAGTCCCGCCGCTCCAGCACGAAGGGGAAGAAGCCCTCGTCACCGCTGGGGGAGGCGCCCCCTGAGAGCAGCCTGGACGGAAAGCTGGGCCCTTCTGGGGAGTTCATGACGCCGGCAGCGTCTGTAGGGGCAGGTAGGGCTGTGAGGAGAGGTGGTGACAGGACTCCTCCTCTGCAACCCAAAGGGGTTCGCCCCCCGCTGGCCAAGCACAGCTCTCTTGAAATTCTTCACCTGCCACTGGCCCTCTGAGTCTTCTGGGCCAAGAAGGGTTAATGATCTGTGTCTTGTCTGCTGAGTTCCGTTAATGTCCCCAGGGTAAACTGAGGCAGGGAGAAGCAGAAAGAGAGCTGCCCGGGCTCCTGCCTCTGGTGGATGGTTTCTGCCCCCCGGAACTTGTCCCAGTACTCCAGGACCACAGCCCACCCCAGCCACCAGCCCCCCACTTCCTCTTCCCCAGGCCCCAGCTGTTTTGGTTCACCAGCTGGGAAACTCTGCCCTGAACCCAGGTTCTTGAGAGGCTCAGGACTCAAGAGGTAAATCCAGCCTCTTCTCCCAAGAATTCAGGGCCTTGGGAATGTAGGTGTCCTGACCCCTTACCCTGCAGAAGTCCAGACCCCTCCCTTTCTAGAAACCCAGACCCAGGTTCCCTGGCCCCCAGCACCCCCTGGCCCTTGTTCCCCTATTTTCTCAGGTCCCTGCCTCTCGGAACTCAGGTCCCCAGACCCTCAGCCCGCCCCTTCTGGACTGCTGGCCCAGGCCCCCCAGTTCCCAGCCACCCAGGGTGAGGTAACAGGTTATGCCTGTGCGGGCACTGCCGCCTGGCCACTCCAGGTTTCTGTTTACTTCCCGCCCGGCCCTGGGGATGGGAGCCTGGCGGCGCTCCGCTAGGGCCGCCAGGGGCCTCAGTTCAAGGGCTCTGGGGCTCAGGAGGGAGGGGACCCAGGGCTTCCCTGGCTTTTTCCCCATGTAACCCCCCACCAGCATGCCTGGGGCTCCCTCATCCACTGTGAGCGCGCGCGAGCCGCGCGTACACATACACACTCACAAACACCTGACTTTTTCCCTTTCTCCTCTTGGCAGGTGTCAGACCCCAGGCCTCTCCGCAGGACCCAGGCATCCGAGGTCTTCCCAGCTCAACTGCCCCCGGGCGGACCGGGGGTCTTCCCGACGTGGCCCCTGCGGGTCCAGCCCGCTCTGGAACTCGGGGGCATCCCGCCTCCTCGCCCCTCCCCGCACTGAGCTAGCAGCTCTTAGCACCTCCACCCGGGCGTCGGGGCCACCAGCCTCTCGACCCCCAACTCTCCGCATCGGAAGCCCAGTCACAGCCTTCCCGCCTTCCTTCCTGCCCGCTCCCGGGTTTCCCGGCCCCCAGAGTCCGGCCCGGCCGCCCCCGCCCGCCCCTTCGGCCCGCGCCCTCTCGGCCCGGCCCAGTCCGCCCGCAGCTCGAAAGCGACCCTGTCCTCGCGCCCCCTCGGCTCTCACCGACGGCGCCGGACTGCCTCCGAGGTCCCCGCGGCCCCGGATCCCCTCTTCCGGGGGCGGCGCCAGGTGCACCGCCCGCACAGGTGAGGGGCGGGGCCATGGGCGCCCCCTGGTGGCCGGAATGACCAGGTGGGGCCTAAAGAAAGGCGACTCCACCCAGGTCAGAGCTGCTGACCCATCTTGCTGCCACCGAAAACGACAGGGCCCATTAATTGAGCACCTGCTGTGTGCACAACCCACGTTGAACATAGACGTCGGTTCCCTTTCCCCTCACAACTTCCCTGTGAGATAGGACATTATTAACGACAGCAACAAATCTAGCGGATATTAAGCACTCTGCTAAGAAAGCTCTTCTTTACTTTCATGACGTCCTCATGAAGCAGGAACTACCATTATCCCCGTTTTACAGATGAGGAAACTGAGGCCCACCAAGGATCTATCTTGCTTGAGGTCACATGGACAGAAGTTGAACGTGAGCAGCACAGGTGTGACTTCTTAGGCTGATTCCTGTGTGGCAGGTGAGGACGGCTAAAGTGACTTGCCCATAACCACACCTTAGGCTGTGCTCCTCCCAACCTGAGGCTGTCGGCTCCCAGGCTGCAGAGTCGGGGGCAGGGGATGGGGTGAGGAGACTGGGAGGACCCATGGCTGAGTTCCAGGGTCGAGCCCGGGGCAGCCTGGGGCTTGTGGGCGATGCCCCGGCCATGGCCTTGTGGCTTCTGGAGAGTCTCCTCAGACTTCCAGGGCTTGCTGGGTCCCTGTAAAAGGGGCTCCTGGCCCAGTGAGTGGGGACCGACAGAGGGCTGGGAGCAGTGGTGAGTTGGTAACTCTTTAATAACAGGCTCTCAGGGGAAAAAGAAAGCCTTGACTTATTAATCCTGCCAATTTCTGTGCTATAAATACTCCCTCCAAGGCTGATTACTTTTTTCTTTCTTTCTTTCTTTGGCAGCACTGGGCAGCATGTGGATCTTACTTCCCTAACCAGGGATCGAACCCATGCTCCTTACAGTCGAAGCATGATTCTTTTTTCTTTTCTTTCAAATGTACTTGTTTTGGTTGCACTGGGTCTTCGTTGCTGCGCACAGACTTTCTCTAGTTGCGAAGAGCAGGGCTACTCCTCATTGCAGTGCACAGGCTTCTCAGTGCTGTGGCTTCTCTTGTTGCAGAGCATGGTCTCTAGGCACACGGTCTTCAGTAGTTGCAGCACACAGGCTCAAAAGCTGTCACACATGGGCTTAGTTACTCCAAGGCAGTTAGAATCTTCCCAGACCAGGGATTGAACCCGTGTCCCCTGCGTTGGCATGCAGAGTCTTATCCAGTTTGCCACCAGGGAAGTCCTAGAAGTGCGATTCTCAACTAGTGTACCACCAGGGAAAGCCCCAAGGCTGACTTCAAGCTACTAACATGACATCTTTGAATGTGGAGATGGGCAGAGACGTCCTTATCAGCTTTTGCCAGCCAGTACTGGCTGGGTCCCCTGCCCCTGACTGTGGGTGTGTCAGGGTTTCTGAGCCTTGGAGGACTGGGGTCCTGTCTGGCTGAGTCTTAGAAAAACAGGAGGAAGATGGGAGCTGGGACTCCTGACTTGTGGGGAATTGGATGTGAGGGCTGGTTCCAAGCTGGGACTCCTGCGTCCTGGGCTGGGACAGGGTTTCCTGCCAGCATATAGCAGGGGTGCCACCAGTTCCATCACAAAGTGGTCTGTGGGCTGCCTTGTCTGGTAAAGCCACCACGTTCTCCCACAGCACCTGGGCGACAGCCTGGTGGACATCAGAGGGCTGGAGGCAGCCCAGCCTTGCCTCGGTGCTGCCGCCCAACTGCCTCCAAACGCCAGGATCACCCAGGGCTCCACCTATACCAGTCCTACCGGGCAGGGGCTGGGCTCACCTGGAGACGAAGTCGTGAAGGCCCTACTCCTAGGAGGTTCACAGTCCACTCCAGGAGGTCGGGGGAGGTGTAGACCTATGTAAACCAGAAATGAACCAATAAAACAACATGCCACGGAGTGTAGCTCACACGTGCTGGCATTGCATGGCTTCAGTCTAGATCCCAGTCTGGCTACATGTCGGTGTGTGTGTCTGAGTCATTCAGCTGCCCTCAGTTTCCCCATCTGTAGAACAGAGGTGATCACAGTCCCCAGCTAATGGAGTTCTGACAATTGAATGAGGGTGAAGGTAAGGTACGAGCACTTAGGCTATGCTGGTGCTCAGCAAGGCCATAAGCAGTGACTCACCACACGTGTTAATATTACAGTGTATTCCATCCTCACAGCAGCCCTGTGAGGTCATGACCATTCACAGTTTACCAGCTCAGGGAGGCAAAGTGATTTGTCTGTGCCTGCATGACCAGCGCTTCATCCCAGCTTGCCTGCCTCCCAGCCAAGGTCATTCTTGGGGCATCTGAATCTGGCCTCCAGGCTCCTTGTTGATTCCAGCTGAAGATGGAGAAGAGGGACAGAGTGGCCCCAGGGAAGCCCCAGCGATACTGGGACAGGTTCAGATAAAGGAAGGGAAGATAATCCAGTCCTCTGGTCTCCAGGCGGCCCTCAAGCAAGCCCGCCTCCTTTAGCCTCCAAGCCTGGGCTTAGCCCTGAATGCTCTCCCTGACCTTTCCCACTGCCTGGTGGGCGCCTAGTGTTCCAAATCTTGGCATTTCCTCCTTGGCATTTCCTCCTTGGGGAAGCCTCTGCAGGCCTCACAAGGACTCCACTAGGCAGGGGAAGCCAGCAGCATACTCCACCCCCTCCATCAAGGCAACCACTCCCGGTGTTTTTGACATATGCAAAGCTTATGAACAATAAGCAGTATTGTTTGGGGCCTTTAAAAACCTTCCTATAAAATGTTTTACACTGAATACTTGTTCTGAAACTTGCTTTTTTCATTTAGCCTGTTATTTCCAAGTTTTTTTGTTTTCCTCAACTTAAAAAAAAAATGACTTTTTATTGGTGGGTATTTATTTCCTATGGGCTTCCCAGGTGGTGCCGTGGTAAAGAATCCACCTGCCAGTGTAGGATACACAAGAGATGTGGGTTCGATCCCTGGGTTGGGAAGATCCTCTGGAGGAGGGCATGGCAATCCACTCCAGTATTCTTGCCTGGGAAATTCCACGGACAGAGGAGCCTGGTGGGCTATAGACCACGAGGTCACAAAGAATTGGACACGACTGAGCACACAGACACGCTCATTTCCTAGGGCTTCTCTAACAAATGACCACAAACTGGATGGCTCAAACAACAGGAACAAATTGTTTCGTAGTTCTTGGGGTCAGAGTTCCTACATTCAGTTGTGGGCAGGGCTGGCTCCTCCTGGAGTGTCTGTCAGTGGCATCTCTCCCAACTCTGTGGTCCAGTACTCAGATCTCCCCAGGCTTCTTCCGCAGGGCTTATCCCCTGGAGCCACTGATCAGCTCGACTTTGCCTCTTCCAGAGTCAACTGAAAAACTAGTCACAACCTTAGACAGTTATTTGATTTGGTGAGAACCTTAGGGACTCTGAGCCAGGAGGGACAGCACTGCAGGTAGCCCTGAGCGATGGCTCTGAGGAGGTGGGAGGGAGTCAGGCTATAAACAAGCTTGCAACACAGGGGGCAGGTGGTCTGAACATCAAATATTATTGTCAAGTAAAGAAAACCAAAGATCACGTTAAGGAATTTAGCATTCTTCTATATATGGGAAGATGCAAGTGAAAGAAAGTGTACGTGTTATTTGCTCAGTCCTGCCAGTCTCCTCTGCTCATGGAATTCTCCAGGCAAGAATACTGGAATGGGTTGCCACTCCTTTATCCAGGGGATCTTCCTGACTCAGGGATTGAACCTGAGTCTCCTGCAATGCAGGCAAGTTATTTACTCTCTGAGCCACCGGGAGAGCCTCAAGTGTCTGGGATTATTGAAGTCATTCCTTTCACATGCATCTCAGCTATCTGGGGCCAGCATCCTGCATTTTTACAGAGGTATCCGTCTCTTCTTGAATTCCCTTAGGGCACACTGGAGGGCTGTAATCACTCCTGACTGTGACATCCTTAAATTCCATGTGTAGGGAGTGGCGCCACCTTTCGGCATGGCTCGGAAATTCAGATTTGGAGGGTGGGAATTGTGGATAGCAGGGATATTTCCTGCCCACTGGTACCGCAGGAAATATTTCATTTCACACCAGAACGCTCTCTGAATGAAATTGATCACAGCGAGTCAGCAGTGAGCAGTGGGGTGAAACGAGATCTTAATTCCCTGCCCAGGAGTTGAACCTGAAAAGCCTGGATGAGAGAGAACCATCAGTCCTAGCCACAGGACCAAGAAGGGCTAAAGGCTAGAAGCTATTTTTTCCCCTGTGTCTTTGCCCCCATTGAAAAATGCACTCATCACAGAGGCAGAAACTGTAAATACAGGTACAAAGTTTATTACTAGAGACAGCACAACACAAGTGTGAGAGCACACAGAGAAATGGCTCGTTTAGTTAAGTCAGAAGCAAGGCAGGGATGGTCACCCAGAGAGAAAGGGTGTGAGTGTCCCCCCTAGTGAGAAGGAGCGCAGAAGAGGTGGTTAAGTCGTTTATACAGGACAGTTCTTCCGGGTCTTTGTCTTCCTTCAGGCCAATTATCTGGTTCCTTTATCCACACCTGACCTACCCTGAGACACTCTCCTGGTTGTGCATACACCCCTCAGCCAAGATGAATCTCAAAGTGAAGGCTTCTGGGAGAAGAAAGACTCATTATGGCCTGGCGTTACCCCTTGACTTTTGACCCAAAAGGAGTCTTTCTGCACATGTATAGAGTCTCCCTTGCCCCAAAAGAGGGGCAAGCGGAGATACCTTAATCCTTTACTCAAACAGGCTTCTGTCCCTCTTTGCCCTCACCTTGACTATTGCCATGACTATTATCTTAAGATGTTTACAAGAGATAAACACTGGCTATTTACCCTGTTTCTGTTGTTACTTCCATTTCAGAGGGCAAACAGGAGGCTAAATGTAAATGCCTTAGCTGGAGCCCACCTATCTCTTGTCTCAAGAAATGCTAACAGTTGTAAGTAGCCAGCCTGAAGCCCACTTCTTGGTGCCCCAAGAGATGCCAGTAGGAGGCCAGTTGTAAATCTCCTGCATCAGAATCACGTCCGATGTGTAGTCTTTGGTGCCTGGCTGTTTTGACCCAGCATAATGCTGCTGAGATTCACCCATGTTGTGCGTATCAGTGGAATCAATAGAGCTGGTGGTCCAGGGGCGAAGACTCCGAGCTCCCAATGCACAGAGATCTAAATCCCACA